TAGGGGTTCAAAGCAGATTTGAGCAGGCAGAAGAAAGAATTAACAAACTTGAAGATTGAAATTATCCAGTCTGAGGAGCAGAATGAAAAAAGAAAGAAGAAAGTGAAGAAAGACTGAGATACCTGTGAAACACCACAAAATAGACCAACATATGCATTATGAGAATCTCAGAAGGAGAATAAAGAGAGAAAGGGACAGAAAGAATATTTGAATGTCCAAAAACTTCCCAAATTTTATGAAAGACATGAATCTACATACGTATCCAAGAAGCTGCACAAACCCCAAGCAAAATAAACACAAAGGGATACACTAAGATACAGTTTAGTCACATTTTCAGAAGACAAAGAGAATCTTGAAAGCAGCAAGAGAGAAGCAACTCATCATGTACAGGGGTCCTTAACAAGAGTAACAGCTGATTTTTCACCAGAAACCGTGAAGGCCAGAAAGCAGTGAGAGTACCCTTATACCACTTCACACCTACTAGGATGGATATAATTTTTTAAAATGGAAAATAACAAGTGTTGGAAGGGATGTGAAGAAATTGAGACCCTCTTACATTGCTAATGGGAATGTGAAATGCGGTGGCTGCTGTGGAAAAGTTTGGTGGTTCCTCGAAAAGTTAAATATAGAACTACCATGTGATCCAGTGTCTTAGTCCATGTGGGCTGCTATAACAAAATACCATAAACTTGATAGCTTATAAACAACAAAAAATTATTTCTCACAGTTCTAGAGACTTTCAACTCCAAGATCAAGGCACCAGAAGATTCAGTGTCTGGTGAGGCCCCACCCTTCCTTGTTTATAAACAGCAGTTTTCTCACTATAACCTCATGTGGTGAAAGGGGCCCCTTCTCTGGGGCCTCTTTTGTAAGGGAACTAATTTCAATCACAAAGGATCCACCTTCATTAGAGATCCACCTTCATTAGTAGATTAGAGGTTACCATGGGTTAGGGGTAAAGAGAAATGAGGAGTTACTGCTTAATGGGTATGGACTTTCTGTTTGGGGTTATAAAGGGTTTCTGGGTATGGATAGTGGTGATAGTTGTACAACATCACAAATGTAATTAATGCCAGTGAATTGTACACACAAAATGGTTTAAAAGGCTAATTTATGTTATATATAT